GGGGGGGTGGTGGGTGGTGGGGGTGGGGGGTGTGTGTGCATGCACCCTCCCTTTAGGCTATCTTCATTCCTGCCGGCTGGTTGCAGTCCTATCGTAGCTTTTCTTGTTTTTCTGTCCTGGACCCAACCTGGCTATAGTTCAGAGCTTTAAACCTTGCTTACACCCCAGGGGGATGGCTAGGGTGTCAGTGAGGCTCAGTCATTTCTACCACCTACATATTTTTTTTTCTAGTTACCTTGCTTTTTTTTTTTTTTTTTTTTTTTTGTCTTTTTGTTATTTTGTCTTTTTTTTTTTTTTTTTTTCCAGAGCTGAGGACCGAACCCAGGGCCTTGCGCTTGCTAGGCAAGCGCTCTACCACTGAGCTAAATCCCCAACCCTACGACCTAGATCTTACAGGGGAAGAGGGATATCTAATAGATGATCAGCAGCCTGTGAATCATGTCCGCCATTTCCATAGCTGTGAGCTTAATGGTGTCTGTACTGTTTTGTCTCTTCAGCGTTAGTGAATATAAATCATTTCTAGGAGAGGATGGGTCAGGAAAAGATAAAAGTATGTTATTATTATTTTTTTTTTTCTTTGAGACAGGATTTCTCTGGTTGTAGCCTTCGCTGACCTGGAACTCGCTCTGTAGACCAAGCTGGCCTTGAACTCAGAGATTCACCTGCCTCTGCCTCTTGAGTGCTGAGATCAAAGGTGTGGGCCAACACAGTCAAACAGACAATTATCGTTCCTTCTTACCGATAAGAGAGGGCAAAAGACTTACTTGGTGCATCATTTATCTAATAATGTGGATTAGTCACTCTAGAACTAAGTGGCTTAAGCAAACTATTCATATTTGATTCTATCTCTCCCAGTCTATGTGGGTTGGGGAACTTTAGAACAGTTTAGGAAGGCTCTTCTGGCTTGGGTAAAGTCTTTGGTAAGAGTTTAGAGTCAGTCTCCTCGGGCCAACTGAAGGCTTGCATGGAAGTGGGAAGCCTTTTGTAGGCCCTTCATTGTCTGCCTGGAAAGCTGATGGGTGTTGGTAAGAGGCCCCAGTTATCTGTCCCACGTGTGGACCTCTCATGGTATAGTACTGGTTTTCCAGAGTCAGCTGTGTGAAAGCAGGACAAGGCAGAGACTTCCCAGCCCTATGCACCTTGAGGAAAGAATCTTTTGAAAAACCTTTCACTTCATTTTAGTTGAAAAGACAACCGTTTTGTTCTTTCTTGGTTCCATTGCATTGTATGACTTCAGTCTCGGCCTGTCAGAGACTCTGGTGGCTGTAGGCAGAGACAATGGTGTAGCAGGAAACATGCCTTTGTGAGAAGCCTGGGATATGATAAGGCACACATTTAGTGTTTAGTTGCTTCTGCTTTGGGAGGCCTCAGGGTACCGTTACACAAAAACAGTTCCGTAGTGAAGACTAGGCCATGCTAGGAGTCATGAGCAGTGTCTCTTTGGCTCTCCTCACTTCAGCGTTGTTTTCTGTTTGTTTTCTGCAGCATATCTGAAAGAGACCTTCGCTTCCCTGGGCTATTATGTCCAGCCTTTCTTGTTTCCCCATGCAAAAGATATAACCCATATTCTCCGCCGATTTGCCCGCCTGCACCAGCACCAGTACTATGACAGCTTTGTCTGTGTTCTGGTGAGCCGAGGAGGCTCCCAAGGCATGATGGGTGTGGACCCGGCTCACTCAGGTTTCTCCTTGGATTATGTCAAGAGCATGTTCATGGGAGACATGTGCCCTTCTCTCCGAGGGAAACCAAAGCTCTTTTTCATTCAGAGCTATGAGGTGTTAGGTGGCCAGCTGGAAGATGGTAGCTTGGAGGTAGATGGGCCAGCAATAAAGAATATGGACTCTAAGATCCTGTGTCCCGGCCCCTGCACGATTCACCGAGAAGCCGATGTCTTCTGGAGCTTGTGCAGAGCGGACGTGTCCCAGCTGGAACGGCCCTCCAGCTCGTCCTCTGTGTACCTGCAGAACCTCTCCCAGCAGCTGGAGCGAGAAAGGTGAGCCACTGAAGTCTGTTTCCTCCACTTTTATTCCTGACTACGTGTTCATTGCTTTGCTGCCAAGATGGAGATCACCGTAATACTGTCTAACGGACTTCCACAGGACACAGACTTTTCCTCCCCCACTGGAGCTGCTTCAGGGGATGATACAGACTCAGCACAGCTTATGAACACTTTGCATTAGTCGGATGGGAGTTTGGACGTATTTTCTATACTCAGCTAACATAAATTAAGCTTTACATAGGTGTGGATTATAGAGAAAGCACAGTGTCTGCACTGTGCTGGCCTGGTTTCAGACATGGTTCCACTGAGTGTCTTGGCTTTTACAGATAAAGGGATGACTGTAAACATTTTTGATGTGTATTAGGATGAGGGGACCATTACTATCTAACTGAATGAAGCCACAGTGTCTTTCAAGTATAACATTAATTGGTCTTCTTTGGTTTGACTCCTAATTACAATGGATAATAATGTTTCTGAGCTACCAGTCAAATGCTTTAGCTTTTGGACTCAGCTTTAGCTTTTGCTCCCTAGTCTCCCCAGTGGTGGCTCAGCAGGATGTGTGGGAGCTGGGGGTAGCGCAGCATTCCAAAGTAGACGTTCTGGGGACCAGGGGTACTATTGGCCTTTTACAGCCTTCCTGTCTTTGCATAGGTGATCCAGAGGGCCCATCCACTAGTGGGTGTGTTCTCAGAATAAACATCCGCTGTTTCTGTGGAAGGAGGCTGGCCACTGAGCCAGATCATTGTAAGCTTGTTTGGATTATTTGCTAAGCAACTTGCGGAACACTTAAAAAAAAAAAATGTTTTGAAGAACTCTCATACCAGTTGATTGATTTCACTCTAACGACAATCTGTCTTCTCTTTGGTGTTTACATGTTAGTAAGTTTTACCTTTCTCTTTTTCTCTAGGAGACGCCCACTTGTGGATCTCCATGTTGAACTCATGGACAAAGTATATGCCTGGAACAGCAGGGTGTCTCCTAAGGAGAAGTACTATCTCAGCCTGCAGCACACTCTGAGAAAGAAGCTCATCCTGTCTCGTACATGAAAACACGCAGCCTTCTGGGTTCTTGGTATGCCGTCCAGGGTGGCTTGGAGCTGGCAAAGCTCTTGATTGCTTGGGAGAAGGAAGGTTATACCTGCTTCTGGTTCTGGTGGAAGCCCTTCTTCCCGACTCTCCTGTGCACAGACATCAGCCCCGAACTCCTGCTGTGGCGCGTTTCACTCCAGCCACCAAGCCTTCCCCACTCCAGTGGGCCGACTCCTCCAAAACTGAGGCAAAGCAGACTTCTCCTTAAGTTCCTCTGTCAGATGTTGTGGCGCAGTGCAGGGAATGGTAAGACATAAACCTGTTGTTTTTTTAGGTTTTACTCTACCAAGTAATACCAAGCTAGTATAAGAGTGGATAGTCAATGGTCCAAGTGACACTTGAGTGTAACTTAAGGAGATTTGCCTGAGTTTGTCATCTAACTGGGCAAATTGTTCCTATGTCCAGAGTGTATACATCTAATCATTTAGTAAATTATTAGCTTGTTAAGTTATTAGAAAAAGCTATTGCTTCAGGAACTATGGGTCTCTGGCATTGAGGATGAACTTTCACATTTGTCTTTAATTTTTGTAACCTAGCCCTCTATATTATTTTTTAAAAAAAACATTTTATTATATATGTTTAATATTTACAATATGATGTTTTGGAATACATAAAGATGGAAAATTTTACTAGTGAGCAAGGAAGAGTTGGCCCTACCCCTCACTGGCTGCAGCACTCAGGAGAATAGTCCACACCTTGCCTGGGCAGCATGTTAGAGCTGGCCCCGAGGGCAGAAGAGTGGGAGAGCTTGCCCTGGTGGCTCTGGTGCAGGAGAGTGGGTGGGCTTACCAACTCACTACCATTCAGGGTTTTGAGATGGCTTACCCCATCTATGAACTGTTGGAGCATGTAAAGGGGCCAGTCCTGCAGAACCAAAGCTGCAGGATCTCCATGACATAAGGCATCCTAGAGGAGTCCCCGTGAGGAGCCAGAGGCCTCCAACCACACTAATGACTGTTTGCAATCAACATTTGCAAGTAAAGATGTGTGGACCAAAGAGTTTAATGTGAGATACACTGTGATACATCACAGCTTCTATGGAGATGTTCTTACTTTTATTTTTATTTTTTGTTTTCGTTGGTAAGGGGAGGTTGCAAGGATGGAGGGTAGTTATAGAGGGGTGGGGAGATGAGTGGGGTTGGGGTGCATGATGTGAAAGTCACAAAGAATAAAAAAGTTTTAAACAAAGAAAAATGGTAATAATAGTGAAACAGATTAGCTTATTTATAATTTCATATAGCTAACTTTTTGTGGCATAAGTGAAAACCTTTACTTATTTATTAAACACTTTTGAAACAAATCGACAGCATGAAAAAAAAAATCCAGTCATATTAGTACTAGGGCAGGTGAGGTCAAAGGATCACAAGTTCTGAGCTCAGTCTAGCTATGTAATGAGGTTGTATGTGTGTGTGTGTCTGTGTGAGAGGGGGAGAGAGAAGAATTCTAACAGTATGATTTTATCAACTGCTATAAAATATGGTTATGTTACTTCTGCGTACTCTTGAACAATCTAATAATCTAATCTCTATCTGCATTTAAGAATAGTAGTCAAGGGGGTGGCGAGTTGGCTCAGCTGTTAAGAGCACTGGCTGCTCTTCCAGAGGTCTGAGTTCAGTTCCCTGCACCCACATGGTGGCCCACAACCATCTATAAAAGAATCTGATGCCCTCTTCTGGCATGCATGCGTGCATGCAGCAGAGAACTCAGATGCATTAAACAAACAAATAATATAAACAGACAAACAAAAACAAATGAGAAAAAGAATAGATCCTCGAGGTTCAGGGATCTGTTTGGAAGAGGAGGCAGGAAGATTCTAAGAGTTAGAGGTAGTGGATGGCTCCAAGGAAGCAGCATCTTCTAGACACAGCAGGACCCACATACATATGAATCACAGAGACCGTGACAGCACATACAAGATCTGCACGGGTTCAAACCAGACAAAATCCCAGCGCTGAGAAAGGATGTGAGTACCGGCCTGGTGACCTCTGCACTATGCAAGCTACTGTTTATCTTCGGTTTATCTCAGTCAATCTACTGCTCTGCCCTCCCTGAGGCCCTTTTCAGGAGTGCTGTTACCTTGAGCCTGCTTCCTCAGTTAACCCAGAGGGCCCATCTTACAAGAGTTTTGACATGACTACATGCTTCCACCTTACAAGAGTTTTGACATGACTACATCAAGCTTTCTTTTTGCACACAGGGGGTTGAGTTATCACAATGGAACTGTCACAAGGAAACTTTTTTTTCCCCCAAATTCTGCTGTGCTTAAAAAGTGACTGAAATAAACAGTCTGTTGTTAGACTCTCGAAGTTTGAACCAGCAGCAGCAACTGGGTTGTGTTGAACTGGACTTCCTTCTTGCCTCTCTTGGATTAACGCTCTGTTGTTTGCAGAGTTTGCAGAGACCCCCACAAAGGGGGACGTGGAGGCAGAGTCCCACTCAGCTAAGAAGCTATGTGCAATAGATACCTGTTGATAAAGGGAAATCATTTTTCTCCAGTAGAGTACCACTGTGTATATCAACCATACTCCAAGGCAGTCCCCAAGCCCAGGAGTACTTGGCCAGCAACAAAATGGATTTTGTGTGTGTGTGTGTGTGTGTCTAAGTGTGCACACATGTACTTTTTTGTCTTTTCACTGATTTATTATTTTTCTTTTTGGTTTGTTTGTTTGTTTGTTTGCTTCCATTTTCAACTTTTTCTCTTTCTGTTTTAAGAGAGAGTGAGAGAAGTTGCATGGGTTAGGGAGGTGAGAGGATCTGGGAAGATTACGAAAGAGTACCTCACAGGACTGTTTCAAGGACAGCATGTAAGGTTCTCTGCAGCCATTTTTTTTTTTTTGAGCTACACCCTTTTAACATTAGTTGTGTCATTAGAGCACACAACAAAGGGACTGTTTTAAAAGGGCTGAGTCAAGCATTGATAAAGTTGATGGGATTTGGCAGGTTGAGAGAGAGAAGAGGATGAGCCAAGAGAAGGAGCAGACAGGAAAGATGCACAGGACGCTTAGAAGCTGTGGGTGTAACGTGCATCTGGAATGGGTAGTAGTGGGTGGTAAACCACAGGTGAATGTGGTCCAAATGTGGAGAACTTTGAAGGCCCCACGTTTCTCGTACAGCTAATTGTCATGTAAGATATTTCCCCTTACTTTAACAGTGGGATCTTTGATTCCTTCTTTATTGCTTTTGTTCACAGCATGAGGTTTCTTGTTTTTCACTGAGTGTGGTTCCTACTGAAATATTTTAGACATACTGAAAGGTAATTATGTAAGAAGACAATGGATGCCCAGCTTAAATAAAATTCCCTAAATATGTGTATGGATACTCTTAATATAGTTCTTTAAGGCGCTGACCCTAAGTGTAGAAGTGATATGTGCCAAGCATGTAGTTAAGTACATAGTCATGATGGGCTACCAACTGAATGAAATTTTATGTCACTATTAAGATCATATGTCCAAGCAGCCAGACGACTCTGTCATTTCCATAGTTTTAGGAACTGCTTGTCTGCACTTCCTGCTGACTCAGCTAATATTTATTTCCTTCTCAAGTTTCTAATGGGGTTGAAGACTAAATAGTTACAGTCTTACAGTTAAGTTAAGCTGTTTAGGTTCTGACAAGATGTTTTTAGATGGGTAATACTAGTAAGGATAGAAAATGATGTCGGCGTAGCACTCTGAACTCACAAAGAGAGGATAAATACTAGAGTACTGTCTCCTAAGTTGCTGCATGAAAATGGACTGGTCATTGTAAATATAATTGCTACATGATGATTTTCATATTTGTTTTTATTGTATGTTGTGTATTGCTGTAAGAGAAAGAGATTTTTGGAGGATTGGTATTGTGCTGCTAATGTATTTAATTGTTAATTACTGGTCCCCCAATATCTGGTTATACCCCAGACAAACATATTCTCATGTACACCAAGTGATGCTGTGTTACTTTGCTCCCCAATCATCCCTGATTGGTTAATAAAGTTGCTGACAGCCTGTGCTGGGCAGAGGAGAGGTAGGTGGAGCTACGGTTTGGGGCTTGTAGTCTCAGAAGGAGGCATGAGGACTAGGAAGAAGATGGAGAAAGAGGACATGACCTGATGGAGCAGATCCAGCCCAAACAGGACAACGTATTAACAAGTAATTTGGGGTGTATAGTTGGGAGACAGCAAAATAGCTTAGAGGTTGGTATCTGCCCAGCTCCAGTGCTTTTAGATTTATAAAATAAATCATAGTGTTTCTGTGTCACTTCTTTTGGGAGCTAACGGGGTTATAGAAAACTGTTGCTTTACTAATTTAATGCTACATTATATGTATAAATAAGAACATATATATTAATTAACAGGCATTGAAACACTTAGTCCCCAGTCAGTTGGACAGTTTGAGAGGTGTGGCCTCACTAGAGGAAGATTGTCACTGGAGGCAGGCTCTGATGTTTCAAAGACTTAGGCCATTCCCAGTTTGCTTTCTCTCTTTCATGTTTGTTCTTCAAGATATGAGCTCTTATCTTCCTGCTTTTGCTTCCATGCCTTTGCTACACCATCATGGACTCTAAACTTTTGAACCTATGAACATAAACGTTCTCTTCCGTGTTACCCTGGTCACAGTGTTTATCACAGCAATGAAAAAGAGCTGAGATTACAGGCATGCACCATTACACCTAGCTCATCTTTATAGATTTAGTTGCATGGTCCTAGATGGATCAATTCACTCCTCAGTATTTTTTTCTTTAGAAATAGTAATACAGACATTGGAAGTGGGAGGAGACATGGAATAGGACAGGAGCATACCACAGAGGGCCTCTGAAAGACTCTACCCAGCAGGGTATTGAAGCAGATGCTGAGATTCATAGCCAAACTTTGGGCAGAGTGCACAGAATCTTATGGAAGAAGAGGGAGATAGAAAGACCTGGAGGGGATAGGAGCTCCAGAAGGAGACCAACAGAGCAAAAAAAAATCTGGGTCCAGGGGTATCTTCAGAATCAACCAAGGACCATGTATTGAGAGGACCTAGGCCCCTGGCTCAGATGTAGCCCCTGGGCAGCTCAGTCTCCATTTGGGTTAAGAGTAAGGGGAGCAGGGGCAGTCTCTGGCATCAACTTGGTTGTCTGCTCCTTGATCACCTCCCCCTGGTGAGGTGGCCTTATTAGGCCACAGAGGAAAAGGATCCAGACAGTCCTGATGAGACCTGATAGGATCAGATAGTAGGAGAGGAGGACCTCCCTATCAGTGGACTGGGGGAGGGACATGAGGGGGAGAGGGAGGCAGGGTGGGACTGGGAAGAGTTGAGGGAGGGGGCTACAGCCAGGATACAACGTGAAAAATTTGTAAATAATAATAATAGAAAAAAATAAATAGTATAAAGGCAAAACCACATTATTTCTTGTACAATTCATGGTAGCCAAAAATTGGAGAAAATGTGCAATTTTTCGAATAGGAGAATGACTAGATATACTCTACTAGCCACATGATGGCGTGCACTAAGAGAATGAGGCAGTTATGTGTTACCTCAGTTAGGATCAACCTAACAGTGAGAATGGGGAAACAGTGAGGAGCTGGGGAGCAGGACCTGCTCACTCAGATACTGCCGCAATTTTCTACCAGTGAGCCCCACAGGGTGGCCCACAGGGCTACCCTACCACAGGAGCAGGGAAGGGAAAGGCCCTCTCTGCCAGGGTTTGCACTGTCCTTTCAGCGCCCTCTACAGACAAAGCCTAACATTGTGCCAGATGGTAAGGCAGCTCCTCTACAGCTGGCCGGCACACCTTTAGCCACGAGGCAGCCTGGGCCCTAGGATAGTTGAAAACAGGGCCCAACAAACAACCGAAAACATTGTGAATATTTGGGGTACTCTCTCTCTCTCTCTCTCTCTCTCTTTTTTTTTTTTGCAACTTGACTGTGTGAATTTTAAACTCCAGCTTTGTAGGATACGGTGTTGTGTTATAATGTGAAAGGCTTGGGCACACCTGTTAGCTACACTGTCACAAAACAAGGAAGAGAAAAGTGACTTTGCAGCAGAGAACATGCAGCATGTTGACAGCAAAGAGTGTACTGACCTTGATATCTGTATCTGTATCTCTATCTCTATCTCTATCTCTATCTATATCTATATCTATATATTTTAGAGCCGGGTCCAAGCCCCCTAGTGTTTCTTGGTCCTTTTGTTTGTCCTGGCTGTCCTGGCCCTCACTATGTAGACCAGGCCGCCTCTGCCTCCCAAGTGTTGGGATGAAAGCCGTGTGCCAGCACTGCCCAGCTTTGCCCTTGATTCAGTAAGCAACGTTTATTTCCTCTCTCTCCCCTCCCCACCCACAGACACACAGGTCCACATTTGTTCACCCTGCGTTACCCTGGTGCCGCTTTAAGTGTTTCACCTGTGGCAGCTCGGTTGACTTTTCTTAACTCTCAACTGCAGAAATTACCACTATAAGTGGTGTTTTTCAAACAATAAAATAATTAATAATTGGCAAAGTACCGAGCCAGGAATAAAAACAAACAAACAAACAAACAAAAACAACAACAGTTGCCCGACTGTGGGTGACTGAGTTTCTAAGGAAGTTGGGGTAGAGAGGGGCACTCCTGGCTGGAGTGTCAGTGGCTTTGGCAAAGGTTCGGAGGAAGGAGAATCACAGATCCTGAGCAGTTGGCGCCCAGTCCACATTGTGCCCGGACTGGTCGGAAGTCTGGCTAAAAGCCAAGCTTCCCGCCTCCCTTCCTTGTCCAGGCAGCACCAGGAGGAAGCTGGCCCCTAGCTGCTGGAGGGGAAGGAATTCGTGTCTGCAGAGCACCTGCTTTGAGTAAAACGCTGTATTCGAACATCACACACACTGGCTTACTTCCCTGGCTGAGCAGTCACTTCCACATGCAAAGACTGGGGCTCGGTGAAGCAAAGGAAGGTGTCTGAGTTCTTAGTGAGAGGCAGAGCCAAGACTTGAATGCAGATCCATCTGAGACTAAAGCCCAAGCTCATTCCACAATGTCACGTTGAGGCAGGATAGAAAGGCATGAAGAATCTTGGGGACAGGAGAAGGGAGGGGAACCCCTCACCTTGGCATCCAGTTGAACTTATGTGCCAGCAAAGGAGCAAGAATCCCAAAACAGTTAATAACTGCTTCAGGCCCTTTTCCCATCCCACCTGTAAACCTGTAATGTTCTGGGATTCTCACTAGAAACCCAGTTATAGAAAAAGACATGTACCAACCCCTTTGTACAACTCTATGGTTCCTGGTTTAACTGTACCAGATCTTAATTCTATCCAAGGCATTACTGGAGATACCCTATCATCTCACTAACTGAAATGGAAAGGAAAGGTGAGGCCGAGGAAAAGGCTTCATGGCTAAGAGGACTTGCTGTACAGGCAAGAGGATTTCTATCTAAATTCCCTAGCACCCACGTAGGGCACGGCCGTGGGTGCCTGCAACCCCAGCATTGTGTGGCGGAGATGGCTGGCTCACTGGGCTTTATGGCAAGCCAGCCGGGATAAAATGGTGACATCATGGTCAACGAGGGACCCTGTCTCACACCTTCTGTGTGAACACTTAAAACATCACTACTTCATTTCTCCTTGATTTCTTGTTCTGACCTGTGAATTATTCACAAGTGTGTTATTTAGTTTGAAAATATTTAGAAGTGGGTTTTTTTGTTGTTGTTGTTCACATTTTTCAGTTGTAGCAAGTGTCTGGCCACTTACACCCAGATCATGTTTGGCAGGATCGTGTATTTCACATCCGCGGTTTTTCCAGTTGTGAAAATCATGGCATCTGTGATAAATGCCTCACAGTTCCACCAGAGGGCAGCAGGGCAACATCCACAGGGGAGTGTTGGGATCCGCCAGAAGACTGGCAGAGTGGAGTGGGCTCAGGGTCTTTAAAAGAGGGGAGAGGGAAACTGGGAAGAGGATTGGGGTAAAAATCAAAGGAAAAGTTGATGCAAAACCCTCTGTACAGTTTTTATCTTGCAGTAATTTTTGTACTTTCTGTTTTGTTTTGTTTGTTTTTCAAGACAGGGTTTCTCTGTGTAGCCCTGGCTGGCCTGAAAGTTGCTTTATAGACCAGGCTGGCCTTGAACTCAGAGATCCACCTGCTGCTGCCTCCCAAGTGCTGGGATTAAAGGTGCACACTACCACCACCCAGCTATTTTATAATCTTTTTATCTACTGCTTTTTACACAAATACACAATACACAAGCAATATCTAAGTGTGGGTAAATTGATTGGATCATATAGTCTTATTAGGGTGCATTTTCACCAGATTTTTGGTTTACGTTGTTTTTCACGTATAAGAATGTTTTGTAAGCACACATCTGGGTTCACCACATACACGCCTGGCTCCGGCCTTCCTTACGGATGGTCGTGAGCCACCATGTGGGTGCTGGGAACCAAACCCACGTCTTCCGCCACAGCAGCAACTGTTCTAAACCACTGAGCCGTACCTCCAGCCCCAAACCATTTTTCAAAACTACATTTATTACTTATTTGTTTGAGTGTGTTTGAGTAGGTGTGCATGTGTGTGGGCAGTGTCATGGCGTGTGTGTGTGTGTGTGTGTGTGTGTGTGTGTGTGTGTGAGGTCAGAAGACAATTTTCAGGTTACTGCTTCCGTCCTTCCACCCTCAGATCAAACTCAGGCCCTCAGGCAGCAGGAGTGGCAGCTGAGCCATCTCGCTGGCCTGGTTTTTGCCATTTTAAGATGGTGTCTGGTGAATATCTAATACATTTGTAATCAGAAACATATTGTTGGAGGGCACAATTATGAATTTATTACAAAGGGCGTTAGAAGGGAGGAGAAGGGTGGGGTACCGGAAGCAGTGTGCGAGGCCTCCATTAGGAACTCTACACAGTCTACCATTCAGACCCTCTCCAATGTGACTGCCAGTGGTCGGTGTTGGGTATCTTCTTCCATGGCACTCCGTTTGCTCTCAGCTGTCTCTTACAGAGCCCAGAGCTTGTTGGTTGTCTGCACTGGCAGTCAGCGTGTGGCCTGGGGATCCAGTTTTTTCCTTCCTCTTCCAGCAGCAGAGCTTCAGATGTAGACAAGCACCCCGGGCTTTGATAGGTGCTGGGTGTCTGAACTCAAGGCCTCATTCTTGTGTAGCACAGTCTACCTACTGAGCCATCTGCCCAGCCCCAAAGACTACTTTAACACACGTTAAAGTAGGAGGTAAGTGAGGGCTGGAGAGGTGGCTCAGCGGTTAAGAGCACTGGCTGCTCTTCCAGAGGTCCTGAGGTCAATTC